TCACTTCTGGTGAAACGCTGAGCGCTTCTAGGGTAAAATCGCGCTGATCGGCAAATGGCGCTTGACATAAACACAGTATTCACACACACTGTGCGAATACAATTCCATAGTATTCACACACCCTCCTGCCTGTGTGAATAACTACTGACTGGTAAAACAAACAAGGGAGAGGGTGAGTCTGAGAAAAGCTAGACAGATCTAGATCTAGATCTAGATCTAGGTTATTCTCACCCGAGGTTACCTGAGAAGCATCTGAACAGCCAGTTGGCCTAAGGCGAGCCTATTTATAACAAAAACTGGAATGAAACTAACTCAGTAGAAAGCGGATAATAATAACTGGCCCTGGCCTGGGTGACTTTCTGGGCCTATCGACACCTTCCACCACTCACTGTCACTCCAATTCCCACAATCAGCTCCCAATGAGTACGAACTAATCTAGATCTAGATCTAGATTCTAGATCTAAATATAAGAGACCCAACATTTCCGAAACAAATACTTACCAAAATACCGTGGTTAGATCACGGGCGGTCCCTCATGGGCGATAGACTAGCCTACGTAAAAGATAGTGTTGCACTGTGAAACTGAATCAGCATCCGTCAGCCTTTGTGACAGTTCCTCTTTCGTTCGTACTACGCTGCGGCTGGATTTGTTGTCATTTCGCTTACGGTGCGATTTCCTATGAGCCAGCAGTTTTCACCGAATCAATACTAAAGTTTTCATTGACAAAACAATTTTGCTAATGAGTTAATTTCATCTAATTTGAGCTTAAAAGGTTCACTCTTTCACTAAAAATAAATAATTTTCAAATAAATTAGGTTTCTAAGTCCAGATAAAAATCTTTAAAATCATAGAAAATAAATAGCCGCTTATTTTCTCCCTTCGCCTTTACAGGCAATAGGACGGACAAACTGGTATGCGTCAAATTGGTATCATGTATCACCGAAAATATCCGCAACTAGAGGTGTGCGAGTCCAGCATATTAAGATTCGAGTCCACACTCGAGTATCTGCTCTGGACTCGAGTAATTACTCGAGTAATT